GAGAGAGAGAGAGAGAGAGAGAGAGAGAGAGAGAGAGAGAGAGAGAGAGAGAGAGAGAGAGAGAGAGAGAGGGTACTTCCATTGATAGGATGAGCAAAATCGAACGAATATACCGCTAGAACATGGAAATATACACTGCAAGTAGTAGTGCATATTTCGAAGTTCTAACGGAACATCGGTGCTCGTAGGGGTGCTGGTAACAGTGGTAACACTGGTAAGAGCAGGGGTGCTGGTAAGAGCAGACACCGGACCGGGTAGTGCTCCAGGCGAGGCTCCATCTATTGCTGGGGAGCAGCACCTGCTGGAAAACTGGTCCAGCGTCCCTACCAGAGATTGATTATTGATTGATTGATTAATTGGTGTGTGTGTGTGTGTGTGCACGCGGGGGGAAGGCGACCTCCCCGCAACCAATCAATCAATCAATCTATCGAAGAGAAAAAAAAAAAAAAAACGAGCGGGCATGTGGCTTGCGCGCGTGGGTGTGTCTGTACCCCTGTGTGTGTGGGGGGGGGGGGGGGGGGGGGGGGGGGGGAGGAATGGGAGAAGGCGAACCCCCAACAGCAAATCAATCAATCAATCAATCAATCAATAAATAAATAAATAAAACAAAAAAAAATTGCATTTGCCCCTCTTGTGTGAGTGTGTGTGTGTGTGTGTGTGTATTCGCAGGGGGGAGGCAACCCCGCCACAGCAAATCAATCAGTCAATCAATCAATCAATCAATCAGTCAATCAATCAATCAATCGATCAATCGATCAATCGATCAATCAATCGATCAATCAATCAAACAATCAATCAATCAATCAATCAAACAATTAATCGATCAATCAATCTTCTTTTTTTTCTTTTTTTCTTTTTTCACACCCCGACTCCCCGAGCCAAAAAAAAAATCTTTTTTTTTTTTGATGGGGGGGGGGTACCCCCCGACACCCACACCCCCCCCAGCCCATCCGCCCCCCCTGAATACCCCCTGGAAGGCGACATATGGAGGGTCGTAGGTCCGTACGTACGGGCCGTACGGGTGCTGAAGGCCCGTACGTACGGTCATACGGAAGTTGGGGCCATCCCCGTAATATGTGGTGACGACACTGTGGTCAACTAAGTTTTTCCTTGGTTTGTCGACTCGTCTCACTGACTCTCACGTTGTTTTTCAACGATGCTTCAACGATGCTTCAGAGATGCTTCGTATGAGTTTACCTTGACGATTCACTTTTTCGTCTCGGGTGTTTTCTTTCCTCTAGGCGTGCTGTGACCTCTATCTGTTGCGAACAGTGATTTCGTCAAAACATTCATATATTTTTTATTTTTTGAACTCGAAAATCCAAAATGGGGCCAAAATTTGATGAAATTTTGGGTACCGCGTTCTGAAAACCTCCTACTACCCTCTCGATGTATCTGGACTCAGCAAATAGTCTAGATACATCCAAGGGGTACGGCATTTTCCGCTTGGATGTATCTGGACCTTGGCAGAGTCCAGATACATTGAGAGGGCAGGAGGTTTTGACTCTTGAGAATGCCGTACCCAAAATTTCATCAAATTTTGCCCCCATTTTTTATTTTCAATTTTTCGTTCAAAAAATAAAAAATACGAAGCTTTTTTGACGAAATCGCTGTTTGCGTCCCTATCATCATTGCTTTGCTGCTTCACATACGAAGATGTTGGTCGCGGGCGAATCCCATGTGGTCTGATCATGACTCTGATGTGGTTACTCCCTCTATTTCTCAACATGGAGGCGAACCTTGCCCACGATGAGGTTTTGCGTCTTTTGACTTCTCTGACACATTTATCGTCGAGTCGATGTTGACCATTGTTTTCATCTTTTAGGGCCTCGCCACACCACTCCTGAAAAGCGGAAAAGACAAAAAAGGGGCGGCCGCATCTGGCCATGTTCTAGCACGAAGTTCGTTCTCATTTTGCACATTTCGAGAGTGGTGTGGCGATGCCCTTAGTTCTCTCTCTTCTGAACTTTGTGTTTGGCCATCTTGTGCAGAGATCTGGTTCTTCATGTGGACTATCTGGACGAGGTGTATGCAACCAGCGGGCTGCATGAGATCTGTAAACGCTGCGACCAGGATGAGCGGATGAAGAAGTATTATGGGAACTTATACACGCGTCATGCACTGTCGCCAACATATCTGGCATATACTATCCCAGTGAGCAAGGGTCCAGTTAACGAGGAAGGCGAGGAACGGGAGGAGGGCGGGGGGGTATCTAAGATAGTGACGGAGATCGTGAGGCCCCTTGCACTTGACGTTTTCAATATTTGGTCATCTCTTCGGCAAAGTCGAGAAAATAATGTCACCAGCCATGCTGATAGAGAAGGTCTAATTAAGAGGGATTTTGTACAACGTGCTGAATCTATCAAGAGGGAGGCGGGTGTGGAGCGGGCTTTTGGGACTGTTATAGCTTCAAAATTTAGAGATGCCATAATGTCTGTATAAAACCTAGACCACCAGTTAGGATGAATCGAGGTGCATTTTCCCATCGATTACAAATGGAACCGGCTACAGGCAGGCCAGCATGTAGAATGCCCGGCCTCCTTCTACAGGTCCTGGATCGCACTTTTCGCTCGGCTGAGGCCCGAACTGGTTGTTTAAACCGCCAGTACACGGCCTCCGCCTTGCTGAAAATGCTTCGTCTCCGGTCCGAAAAAGCCGGCGTCTGCTCGCCGTCGGCGGCCGGCATCGCATTTCAGCCCTCTGACATGGGGCTGCGGCCGATGCGAGCCGGGTACTGGTCGTCTTAAATGACCTGTACATCTGTGCCCCTTTTGTACAAGGCAGATTTCCACTGCCCGCCAAGCTTTGCTGAAATGCGGGCATGGCATTTTTGTTTTAGTTTTGGGGGGGACCACCAGGCACCAGCCATTTTGGTCCGGTCACCCTGAGCCTCCGATCTTTTCGGAGAAGCTCAACTGTGATCCTCAAGTTGGCAGGGGTCATGTATTGGTGGTTTAATTAGAATCTAAACCACCAGTACCTTTCCCCGCATGAAAAGCAATTCCGCGCCAGGTAATCCGGAAGCCAAGCGGGATCCGGCCGCCGTTGATAAATTGAATCGCTGGTCCGTTTTCCGTCTCAGGCTTTCTTTTTTCTGCCCGCGGCCAATATAGGGGAAAGGTAGCACTGGTGGGGGCGTGTTATTAAAAAAAAAAAAAAAAAAAAAAAAAGGGGGAAGTAACTGGTGGTTTAATAGAACACATCATACGTGAGCACAGGAGTTTAATAGAACACATCATACGTGAGCACAGGAATACCGAAAGAAGAAGGACGCTTATTCGTACGGGCATACTTATAGCGTAGTTAGGGTGGGTCAACGGCACCTAGAGTTTATGCTAATTACCCCCCAGATTGACTTGAAACAGCGCTCTATGAGTGTGTCTTAATTAGGGTGAACTGCAGTACCGGACATTCATGGCTCGATTACGATGCCTATCAGGGTTGAGACCCTCTTTTTCTTTTTTTAATAAAACTGCCGCCTTCGGTGCTAGTGGTGCTGATAAGAGAAGACACGGTTAGCACCTGTCGAGAGGCTCCATCTACTGGTGGGGAGCATCACCCGACCCTCAATTTCACGATACGGCAAGAGGATTCAACTCTCTCTCTTTTTTTCATGGTAACCGCCCGGACATCCGGACCGTGTTCCAGACAGTCCAGTGTCTGGTGTCCGGTGTCCGGTGTCTGGTCCTGATGTCCGGATGGAGGCCCCTGGGGCAAAAAAAAAAAAAAAAAAAAAAAAAAAAAAAAAAAAAAAGGGGGGGCTGCCCAGGATGTTTATCGGGTCCTGGCCGCCCCTCGAAAAATAACGGGGTGATTTTTCAGTGTCATTTCACCTCACCGGACAGGGCTTAGATGTCCGGACACAAGACACTTCAGGTTCTTGAGGTGGCGGGTTTCCACAGGCCCGAGCAATTTCAAAGCGTTTTCGACGTCGCGCCCGGCGCTGCTGCCCGTTGGAGAGAGAGAGAGAGAGAGAGAGCACTTACAGTGCTACCAGTCTGAAGACTCTGACGTTCTGAATTGAACTGCAAAATTCAAACTTTTAAGTTGTGTATGAAGTTATGAACTTAAATTACTAAATCCAAAGTTCAAAGTTCAAAGTTAATCATACTTTTTTCAAAAAAAAAAACTCTGTTTCTTTAGTATTCTGCCTGCTTTGCACTGTTTGCAACTCTGTTTCTTTAGTATTCTGCCTGCTTTGCACTGTTTGCAACTCTGCATGTCTGCTAGTTTAATGTGCTTGTTGATTTGCTGTAAGACACGTGTTCTGCTGCCTGAGCTACAAAGTGCAAAGCAGGTAAGTGCCTGCCAACACTCCCGCCCACCCCCCACCCTTCCCCGATTTTTTTTTTTTCCTTTTTCTTTTTCTGGCACCGTTCCAGACTGTCCGGGTCCGGTGATGTCCGGGTGTCCGGTAATGTCCGGATCATCGGCCAGTCCGGACCAGTCCAGACACTGGTCCGGAAGACAGTCCAGAAATTCCGGTGTCCCGGGCTGGGGTTACCATGCTTTCTTTTTTTTTTTTTTTTTTTTGCTTAAATTCTCAACATACCTGTCAAAATAGAAGCTGGAGAAGCTCAAGAATCAGCGGCCTAGCTCAGTTGGTAAGGCACGCAAGTGGCATTCAGGAGGTCTCGGGTTCAATCCCCATTGGCCTCATGCACCTTCCTGGGCAAGCTTGGCGCCCGCCACCTAGAGATATGCCATTGGTCCCCCCGAGTGGCATTGAGCAGAGACTGCTGATGTTCATAGGGGAGGGGACCGGCGGGAAGGCACAGTGACTGGCCCATCGAAGAAGCTCGGTCCCGATGCTACCGGCTGACCCCTGGCCAGTATCGCCCACCTGCTGTAGCTGGTATCGCACCTGCTGGTGGGTGCAGCTCTCTCATGTTCCCTCGTTGGAGGTGGCTGCTACGGGGTTCCCTGTAATACTATAATGACAATGAAAAAGGCCTGAAAGGCCGTCCTGTCCCGATTTGACAGGTAATTGAATTGGTTGGGCTTAAAGAAGCAGCCTTCTTACACCAAAAAATAAAATAGAAGCTCTATAGCCAATATGAATGACATATAATCTACAATAACTTCCATAATCATTTTGAATTACCTGGGGCCAGTCACCTGTGGATATATCTCAAGACTGCCGCCCTTTTTTCCTTCTTCTAAGGGTCAACTGCAATTAGAGTTTACCTTTTTTTTTTTTTTTTTTTTTTTAAAAAACACGCCCCCACCAGTGTTAGTGCTGCTGATAAGAGCAGACGCCACTAACACCAGGGGAGAGGCTCCATCTATTGGTGGGGAGCATCACGTGCTGGAAAACGGGTCCAGCGTCCCATATACAGAAAATGAGAATGTCTGAGAACAGTGAGAACAGTGACCGTGACGTCTGCCAGCATTGCTTGCCCTGGAACCCAGGGGATTGACTGAGCAGGCCTAAATAGTGTCCTTTTCACCCTCAAAAGAAGGGCGCGAGATAAAACAGTTGAGGGCTGGTATTATTTAGCGTTGATTCTATTCACTCCGAATCATGCCAAGTGGCACAGATTGCTCAGGATACCTGCTGTTACATACTAATTCCTCCCTCCCCCCGTCATTGATTGCACTGGGATCCGGAGTATTAACTGAGCAGAGATTTGATTTACCCAAAGAAGCTCTGTTCCACTAAGCTCAGCGAAGAAGGTGGGAACGGGTCTGGGAAGTCTGAGAGTGGTCGAAGTGTAATCGCAGGGTCGAGTGTTGTCCATTCGTGGAAGCAGAGCTGTTACAGCCTGTGAGCCATCTTCTGATCCCCTCCTTGCCTTTCGCTCTCTTTCACCATCCCCAACATCCCTCCGTTTGTTCCCCCAAGCCAGTTGCTACCGAATCGTTGAATATTCCGTTGGATTTCCTTAGAGTCATGAAGGGTTGAGATCCGGATTTTCACCTGTTCCCACTAAGAGGAGATGTCAGCTTGTACCTGTTGCTTGATGGTGTCTGTGAATTCTGGTGCATCCAGTCTGACTTTTTCCATCTCGTGTGTGCAACGTCTCCACCATAGGGCCCACATTACTGCCCTGCGTCCTATTTTGAAAAGGTTGTGTGAGAAAGTGTTTAATTGAGGTGGATGCCAGGTTTCACAGAGGACAACTCTCCAGTCCCATGGCCATGGACAATTGGTGCCAAGTTGACTCCATCTTCTATCCCACCACCTCCAGAGCCAGACCGCCCCAGGGCATTGTAGGAAGATGTGTTCAATTGGCTCTGGAAGTTTCCTTTTTTTTTTTTTTAATTTGGAAAGAGTATCATTATATTTTGAATAATAGGAAGGAGGCCGGGGACCTCACAATTCAACCCGGAAAGGATAGAACCAGCTGGAAACCGGGTCCAGCGTCCCTTGCCTACTTCCCAACCATTTATCCCTGAATTTGCTTATAGGTACCAAAAGGAAGATCCGAAACTGCTGGAAACTGGGTCCAGTGTCCCCTTCCTAAGCAAAACTGCTTTCCAAAAATTGAACTTTAAGCACCAAAAAAAGGAGTTGCAAACCTGGAGTAATTATGTAAAACCAACTTTACGATCCTCTCAGGTCTTCCGAACACATTGTAGAAAGCAAAATTATTATCTTTGATGGAAAGCCACGTTCTACTGTAAAAAATCCCTTCATATCACCAACTTTTGGGACTTATCAACTTTTATCTTCTGTGTATTTCGTGCCCAGGTACCCAGAAACCAGGGCCGACCTTTCCCCTGTCTGCCTGAGCATACTTTCCAGTCCGCCACAATCAGCCAACGAATTTCACTGCGTATTTGGCTCTGCTGTTGCTGTACTGTCTTTTTTTGTAATGAGGACCATTTCACTGTGACGGATGCCCCAAGGACAGGCCCGTGGCTACAAGGGCATATACCCGATTTTTTTTGAGAGCCCTTTTTCTGAAGTTGGTGCCCAAAACCCGTAGCATAACGTATACGAATACAACTCACGCACGTGCGTTCTGTTCGGGGGAAGACTGTAGGCCGCTTGCTCACGATCACTATCATCTCAAGGTTTCAGGTCGGGAGATCCTCTTTTTCGGGATTGCCCTGCCAGTCGGCTGCAGCAAAGCCACCACTGGACTCCCGTGGTGCCCAGTTCTGTACCTGCGCGACCTGCGCCGAACGCAGGGCTTTCCCAAGGGTTGCTTCGGAAGGTTCGCTACCAGGTCTGGCAAGGCGAGGCAGTCGCCACTTTTGCCCCTCTTTCGAAAAGATTAGTCCCTAATTTCATTGCATTCGACCTCAGGATCTGTTCGCTAACAATGACACGTGTGTACCATTCAGCCACTTCGGCTGTGTCAATCCTTGACTAGCCATGAGTGGTGACACGTGTGTACCATTCAGCCACTTCGGCTGTGTCAATCACTGACTAGCCATGAGTGGTGGACCGAGGCCCATGCTCAAGATCAGGAGCCATGTTCCACCATTCACAAACTGTGAGAATGGAGAATGCATCTTGCCACGTTTTTTTTTTTTTTTTTTTTTTTTTGGCAAAAACATCGCTGCCGGGCGTAGGAGGGATGCTGGTAAGAGCAGACACCCCTTCTACTGGCCCGCCTATTGGATGGCTCCTTTCTATAAGTGGGGAGCTGCACCTGCTGGAAACTGGGTCCAGCGTCCCATGACATTGTAAACTCGAGCCATAACACATCTTACGTCATCCTCAGTCAATCACAACCCTCATTCCATCCACTATTCCCATACCCTTCAGCCCACATTGCAAAACTGAGTCACAACTCATCAAAGCGCGTCATTTAGTTGATCTCAACCCTTATCCTATCCCCTGTCCCCCTACCCTACAGCTCATCCCCTTGCCATGAGAAGGCCCTGAATGTCATTGGCCCACTATAGGGGCCCCTTGCAACATACGTCCACGAAGCTTGTCCCATATTTGGCGGGTGGCCAACTGGTGCCTGCGCCGTGACCGGAACTTTGCTAAGCCTCCGGCATCTCATGTCTGACGACATGAGCTGATCTCTTAGCCCCTTCCAGCTGCAGCACCTAGCCCTTGTGATCTGTGGGCCCCTTGCAGCTGCAGACACTGGCCCCTGTGTTCAGCGAACTGTTGCTGTCGCAGTCCATAGTCTTGGAGTTACACCGACACCCCTGTGAATGCAGCCGGATAGTGATTGATCGGCGGGGCAGGGTCGTGAGCAGGGCAGGGGGAAGGTAGGTGAGCTGGACAGGGGGGCAGGGAAGCAAGCGGGGCAGGTTGGGAAGGGGATAGTAATGAATAGACCCCTGTACACTGGGGAGGACGTCTTTATGCAGTGAGAGTTTAGGGGACGAGCACAAAATTGGTCGGGAGGAATGGGACTGCAAAGTCGCCCAGTGGTTTCCTTTGCCAGGCCAGCTCTCCCTCCCTCCAGGGTTTCCATTGTATGGTCAGGTCGTCTCGGACCTCAGAAAAGACACGGTGGGGATCCTGTCGGATCTGACGATACGACTCCCGAATAGTCTCCTTGAGGGCGGCATC